TCACAAAGAGGGCCGGTACCAGAACAGACTCCACAAACACCACCTCCACAAACGAGTTTCCAAACGTCGGATGTAAAGGGAATAAACGGGGGAGGTCCATCTTCTTGAATGGATGTATTACCCGTTTTTTTTGCACCTTTATGGGAGCGATTGATGAATTGCTGTAAGATGGAAAACAAAAAAGAAATCATTTGTTACTTATAGGCAACGCAATTGACGAGACCCTTGCTCGGAGAATAACGCGTAACCAGACTTTCTCCGAACGTTTGTTAACGGATATAGAACTAAGCTACGTTTCCCCCAAGATTTGAACCATGCTTTTATCACGACCTTTCCTGCCTTCCATTCTTTTGTTAATTCCTCGACTTCTCCTCCTAAAATTTTCAGCATACCAGGTCCTAGTAGAAGAAAATTGTCCCGAATAGCGATATCCTTTTTAACAGAGACTTTTATGCCCGGCGGGGTATTCAGGCTGAGCAACAGAATTAAGATAAACGACTATTAATTATACAATACTTTTTTTTTCTCACCTGGGAATTGACTCTCCCCTCTTTTTACAAGTTACTCACGTGATTCCTTCTATCTCTCCCAACATTTCAAACCCCTTGACTTTCTTCTTTCCATCGGTAAACTCTACTTGCAAAAGCCGTGGAGAATTCGACTGATTCTGTTGTGGTGTCGACAGATTTGTAATGGAGAGAATTTGGAGAACTAATGGCGATGAAATATGAGACTTTGTTGTGATATCTCGTGGTAACGAACCAGATGATATGTGGCGAAGGTCCGTCTGTGGAAAATAATGAATTGACGAGCTCCCTCTGAGTTCAAGAAGATGACATTGTAAACATCATTTATGAGAAAGTTTTATTAACATTTAAAGCTTCTGCAATAATTTGTTGGACTGTAAGGGCTTCAACGTCGCATTCCAGCGTATCAGCTATTTGAGAAATGCCTTCTTCGTTTAGGAACCTGGAAGAGAGAGGGGGAGGTTTGTTTTATATGCAGTTGAGAATTGCAATGATACATCCCATGCATTAACGATGGCTTTAATTAGAATTCTGATAAACCTACCAACCTGACTTCTCTAGTTCGTCTTTTAAGCTATTCATTTTATGACAGAATGAATTGAAAATGTGAAATTCTAACATTTGATGATACTTGATCTCGTGACGTGTGACACAGAATTTAGCCACATGACTGGGAGAATAATTGTTTCCCTTTTCTAGTTTTTGTTGGTCAGTACCAATTACTCATACTGAGCACCTTTAGCGTTCAATCGTAGGTGCTACTAAATAAAGGAACGCAAAACTCCAATTACTCATACTTCATTTGATAATCAAGAAACTTTCTAGTAAGCTACAATAATACAATAGGTTACATTTCCCATACTGTGAAAATGTGATGATTGATTATTATTATTATGGGATGATCCATAAAAGTAGTTGTCCAAATGGCATGGGTTTATTCAATCAGTCATATTAGTGTGCTTATGTGGTGTGGCAACTCAACTTTCCAACAACCTATAATTGCATACTATAAATCTCGGTTACTTGCAATTGGTCAACAGCTTTCCCGAAGCTATCACGTACATATGGGAGACTGCAACAAAACCAGACAAAGTGAACATTTTAGTATGTGACATAAATGAAAGGCTGCAATCTTTTTATTCCTTCCTCAATGTCAATAATAACTCCCCGCATTGATGTGAGTGGAGTTCGCATGACAACCCATCTTCAAAAGCTCCATTATGATTGCATTGTTATAATAAGGCACGTCTTTTATTTATTGCTTACAAGAGAATGGATGGCTCTCTTCAATAATAAGAATGTGACCCAAAAAGTCCGAGAATTCCCCTTTCTTAGTAATAATCACACGATGATAAATAGAAATCTGTTAGTCAATAATCAAATCCCCTATTCCGTTGACCAAACACTAACAAGTCTGTCAAAAAGATTTGGACATCTGCTACTATAGTTTTACGCTCAACATGATCCTACCCCTAAGCCGTTATGCGTTTTCCTGTAGAGACAATAGACCGCTTAGTCATTTTGATCCAGTAAATGTAAATTTCCCTCACAGTTATGTAATCTTCAGCAATTAGGCAATCGATAAATATCCAGACCGTAGAAAGGAACAGCTGTCGAGCTTCGAATAATCAATATACATAAGATTGCTTTAACCAGAATTTGTTATGAGCTACGAAATCGCCTTACAATCAAATCAATGACCACTGCTGAAAAGACCATTACTTTCGAAATTTTGCGAAATGATCTGTTGCCAAGTAACTAAGCCTTTCATGCAGACTAACAGACTTTGGAAATTTAGCTGCAAGATAATTTTGCTCGCTTACAGTATACCCTTCCATAATTTTCATCCGATGGCAGTGTTTCAATTACATTATTATTATTCTTTGGACATGTCGTTCTGTCGGCTGCAGAAACGCTAAATCCTTTGTTTTTTAAGTGTCGATTGTACAATTTCCACAAATTAAGATATACATACTTATTTTCTACAATCTGATATTGCTACTTCCTTAATCACCAAATTGCAAACAGCTTCTCAAGTTTTCTCCTACCTTCATTCATTCCCCCCTTTCCCTTCTCCTCCTACCTCCTCCTACTTCTCTTACTCGCTCTGTTCGTTCGTGATGCGCTTTGCCGCAAAGCAACATCTCTCATGGTCCACAAACGAGTGATATATTCCTCTTCCGACTTGCCTTCCTCGCCATCTTTCACCGTATCTGAATTGCGCTTAACAGGCAGACTGTGTGGCGATGAATGAGACAGAGACATGTTTTGATTGGGGAATGAGGATGAGCGGGGAGATGAGGTAGTGGGACTAGACGGTGATTTAGTATTAAGCGTTGCAAAGATTGTTGGAATCAATGGTTCTAATGGCTGTACAGTTAATTACGTGGCCGGGAACGGAAGGTTAGAGAAGTAGTTAGCGTTCAATACTATTCCTGGCGAACTTGTCGAAATTCGATCAATTTATACGATAAAAAGGGGTGTCAATTGTTTCTTCTCTACCTTCGCCGTTAGATGTTTCTCTCGTTTTCTGTAAAGTTCCGCTAATAACTTGTCCGGAAGAGGTAGTTTGATAACTGTTGAAATTTGATGGAAATTCAGACAATTCTTAAACCAATGGATTCTCCTAATACTTTTTGCTAACTGTTTCTGCACAACAATCCTTGCCTTAAACTCCTCACATTCCCGATATTCCACTACCATATTTTCTAAGCAACTTACTCTGATCAGCACGTTTCGGTATAACGTCCTCTTTTTCAGGCGGTATATAGATTCTACATCTTTGATTTAGGCCGCCACACTCTCCTATCTTTGATCCAAAAGTAATATCTGTCGAGGGCAGTGATTTTAAGAGTACTCTGACTTTATTGCTTTCCGGAACAACTACGAGATTGTGTGAAGGCAATACTTCAAGCGTCTCCCAGTTTCCTTGCATTTGTTAAATGATAAAACAGAAAGAATGTTGACAAAAAAATGGCGGGTAAAGAAATTAACTTTTAATATTAACACGTGACTTGGATGAGAATGTCTTTCACGTGTAACATAACGCGTTCTTGTTCTTGTTCTTACGCGATACAACAATCCACAGTCAAAGATTAATTTCTAATCGGTCTATTAAGGAACGTAACTAATGGCTCATAATTGGGCGTGACTTCGACCATACCAAGACAAAAGCTAGTACTAGGAATACTAGTAATGGTTCGTAACACCTGAGTTTAGCGCGCAGGGCACGTGTTTGATTTACTTTTAATCACGTGATTAAAAAGATACAAACACTAAATAACGTATTCCGATTATAGACTGCATACTAATACCTAAACTGAGCATCTAGCAATTATAATTAAGGGCTTCCTTCTCAATAGCTTTGATACCCCGATCAAATTTGGAAGTCGTACAAAGTAAATGATAAAATTCATATGTGACTGCAATTAAGCATACGCGCATAAATAACGCCCTTCCGCATGAGGCTGTTATGCTGTTAATGATGATGTTATCTATCAGCCGGAAAAGACTTATTGCCTTCATAGTAACAGAAATAATAAAATCTAAACAAGAATTTGATGCAAGATTAATTAGCATTTCTGTTTGATTCGATGTGTCAAGGATTAATCGTACACCTCGTTTATTTCGGCCAAAAACAATGGCTTATTGGACAGACATATTTCCATATCTTAATGATGAGAGTGAATATAATAGTTTTAAATCTCATTTTCGCATTTGCGATCTACGTTCAATCGACTGCTTAGTATCCTACAGCAACATCCCAACCATTTATCCACCCTTTTCGACCTCAAACTCCTATTGAAATTCAAGTTGGCATTGTGATTCAACGATTAGTAAATCCTCTAGGATATCGCCAACTAGAACAAGGTTTGGTGTTAGCTAAGGATCACGCCCATTTTACTAAACGATTTATTGAAGACCTTCCAACATTATTATCATCATTTGTATCAATCAAACCCGCATACGTTGTGGATAAAGATCCGAGGTCTTTTGCTTCTTAGGCATTACAATTAATATGAAAAAAAAAATTTTTTTCTTGAATCAAGTCAATAAATAATGTATGTTCTATCACATGTACTGCTCTCGTCACATCACATCGATCATGAGATGTCAGGCAAAAGTTTGAATTATATGAAAAATAAACAATTACCAATTAGGGATACCCCTTGATGCCTCCACCAATAACTTCCATTTTTATCATCGATTTCCAAATTTGATCGGGGCATCAAGCTGTTGAGAGGCCCTAAATCTCGATATTAACATAAAACCAAAATGTTTTACATCTGGTAAGAATTTTACAAAAACTTTGAGTACGCTAGCCATATAGATCAAATTTGACAGTCTCAACTTTATAGTTTTCCTTGATCGTGCCTTTTCCTATTAATTTACTTACTATTACTCACTTTTTACATAATAGTTTGTTGCAAAGAATTTGTGATTTTACTTTTTCAAACTATTTAACGTTTGATAATACATAGATTATTATACATCGACAACCTCTTTAATTCAAACCTCTTAATTCAACTTCCTCGTTAAACCAAATATTCTAGTAATATTATTCACACTTCGGGAGCCAAGATAAATCCGAGGTGGAGGTATAGCGTTTAATAGATAATAACGCGTAATTTTATTGGCTAATAAATTCCATTTGCCCTAAAAACTTCTTAGCTGTCACAAGTGCTTCCTCTCCTTCGCTTGAGGTTATATTTATAATAGATTACTATATAGTTGGGAAGTTGGGAAGGTGTAAATTGGATATAGATAGGGGAGAAATCTGAGTGGAATACAACTGAGGTATATTTACAATAGGGAAAATCCGTCCAGCACTCAAGCCGTGATACAAGTGGGGGAAATGACTGTATCGCGACGAGAACCGCGTACTGATAAAAAATCACAGTACATTTCGATATTTAATTAATCGTCTCTAAAAATAGAATGTAATCTGTGAAAGTACATAAGCAGTTGTAGTTTCCGCTAGCAGCACAATCAAATTTTCAAGTTTTTGTTTACTTGTATTATTAGAGTAGCTCTTTGATACTCAATAAATTATATTTATTGGAAATAAGTAAATAATTAGTATTTCTTGGTTCATCGCCTTGATAGCAAACCGAAGTTTCGCTATCAAGAGGAGTCGATCTTGATCTTGTCCATTGATTTCCGTGTTGGCAAGTACGATTGCTAATTATTGTCTACAAACCGTTTTCTTTCGTATAAGCATTTTCCCAATTGTACTTACAGACTATCGAGACTAATTGTAGAAGTATATACTGCAGTTTAATTAGTAATCGAAAATCTACGTATACGATATTGAACGTACGACCAGTGAGCATACTAGAGATGTTAAAGAAGAATTTGATTCCGAAGCCTTTGCCAATGCTGTTGCTTCTGCATTTCCTGTATTAGTATAGTATGACAAAGATGTTATTATAAAAACAGTAATAGTTCAAAAGAAAATCAACCACAGCGCAATAAATATTGTTAACAACATGTCTGTTTAAAATAAGAACCAATCTCATCAATAAACTTTACAAAAAAAGAAAAAGAAAAAGAGCTTACTTTCACAAGCGAATTTTCTTCCGGAGCATTGATTGCCTTTATTTCTTGGTTTATTTCCCAATTGTAATAACCAACTTCACAATACGAGAGCCTCAAGTAAGACGATGAAGTAAAAAACTGTCATCTGACAAAATTTATTCGTCAGATCTTGAAATACGCGAAGAACAGAACAATCAATGTTGGTGAAGATAAAATATAAATTTGCACCAGAGTAACCAAAGAAATGGATTATCCTCATTAATGATTTTGAAAGTAATTATTTCTATATTTAAAGAAATTTCATATTTACGAAAAATTTAGATATCTGACTCCATGTTATTCTACATTGTGTCGAACCCACAATTTTTGCTTAGCAAACGACACGATATAACTCTGTGGTACGCATCATTTTTTACTTATGATAGCAGTTTAAAAGTAAAACTAGCTGAATTTGATAATGTTTGCATCGTAAGAATTAGCTGATTATTAACACCTGAAAATACACTGCCCATTACAATTGTTAAAAATCAAATTCGGGTACATGAAAATGAGGGGCTCTCTCAATAATAATAATGCAGTATGTTGGATCCTCTTTTTTGATATGCACGTGATTCATTTCTGCTGACTAAACAAATATAGTTATGTAAACCACGCGAAAAGCTTGGCAAATGCGGGTATCGCATAATTAATTATATTTAGTATTAGCGAACGGCGAGGTGCAGAATATCAGTTGACTCAATTTAGTGTATGCGCACATATTAATATTCTAGTAGAACAAATTGCGATGTAATATAATCAGCTCTTGTAATTATAGCATACAAGGACGAGTTAACAGTAGAATAAGAGGGAATGCTAACATGCTTATGTATGTTATACAAAAGGTACTATACATGAGACCTTGCGGTGAGTTCTCGGCTTTTTTTGTTTGACATAGGACACGTACTTTACTTAAAGAAGTATGCTATATTTTGACGATTGATTTCGTTCTAAAAGGTTATCAGATTTGTTGACACCAACAACCAACTATTACATATGTACAAGCATGTTGAATATTTTGTTAAAAATAGCAATTGCAACTTTAAGACTATAATCAATTGGCTTGAACTTTATTAATCCGTCACGCACCGTATATTTACATACTAAGAAGAACAAATACGGTTTCCGTCAGTATATACGAATTTACATCTCTCATCTTTCTATAAACGGTATCGGGCTCGAACTTTGTTTTCGTGTCGAATACCCTTTATCCATTCTATAAACGATGAAAATTGCATTGGTCAAAAATTAACCAGAGATAAAAATAAAAGATCTCTACATCGAATTAGTCTATCCTTAAGGGTCTGTAGATATGACTGCCTTAATATTATGTAGATTGAGAGAAAGGTGTCTTGATTTATTATTCAATAACAAACAAACGACATTATTGGTTGTTGTTTTCCGCTCATATAATAAATAAATTAATGCGAGAATTATTGATTATACGTCGTATCTAATTACAAAGGAGAAAAATTTCATCATTTTTCAAGGGAAAGCAATTAAGAGAAACCCTTAAAGCCTGGGGCCGTTGGTGCACAATCGGGAATCGTCAGTCCAGTCTTTAACTTACGATCAGGCGTAAATAGACCCCAGCTGCCCTCTAGAAGAGTAAACATTGCAGTCTTCCATGGTGTGTCAAAAGACTCGAAATAGTAATATTTTGTCAGTTTAGTGTTGGCGGCGCAGAGGAACTGTCCGAGAAAGTCGTTGAGATTTGGCACACTAGCAATCGCTCCCTTTTCGGGGTCACCAGCGGTCGGCCAACCAATTTCCGATATAATGGCTTCTTTGCCAGCTTTTGCTGCAGGAGTAACGTCATTGTCTTGGAAGAATTGGAACGTCCAGGTAGCACCTTGTTGAGCCGGTACTCCACCAAAGTATGGATGAACATTAGCAAACGCGAGATCGCATGCAGCAACGAATGCATCATCTATGTTTGAACCGAGATCGGATGTGAACACAGGAACCTTCTTTTTGACGTTGGGGAGTGTGTTCACTTTCTGACGAACGTCTGCAATGCGGGCAAACAGATCTTGTGTGGGGATCTCTTTGCGGAAGATAACTATACAAGGTGAATGCAAATTTTTCCAAGATGAGAAAGTTTTGTACTGCTAATGGTTTATACATATATTGATTTCACGGTATCAAACCTTACCTTCATTACCGACCGAAACACCATCGATTTTGTCTACCCCATGATCATTGATGAGGGTAAATAGACTGTCGTACTGCCTTTTATACGTCGTTGCATTATTGTCAACCCAGATGGTAGGAACGACCGTCATGTTAACGTTAAGAATCTTGATGGCCCAAATGGTCATGTTTGCCATCTGGCAGTCCATTCCATACAACCTAATACGTGAAGTGAGCTGTGATAGTAGCTTAATGTCTTCTATCACATCTCCAAGTGTGTTGCCGCACCAAGGGTAAGTAGCATTGACGGGACCATAATTGATTCCCCAGAATGATTTCTTCAAAGCTGGATTAGGAGTAATTGTAAGGTTGACAGGCTTGTGGTCCCAAGTGAAATAAACTGTATTTCCATTGGGATCAACACCAGTGCTACCGTTGCCACCGTTGCCACCCAAGGGTCCATTGGAGCCGTTGCTGCCGCCGCCGTTGCCGCCTCCGGTATCAGTAACACTGTTCTGCGGGTTGCTCGACTTGCTGACGACAGCATAGGCCACGCCCCCGACAATACCAAGGAGGACTAGTAATCCGAGACAGCCTACTAACCAGCGCGCCTTGCGGGAGGCCTTTTGCTGCGATTTTAACCAGTCGCTAGTGTTTGGATCGCCCATTTTTCTGAATTATAAAGAAATGGACGTTAGTCTACATTATGGAAACTAGAATAGTGCGGCAAGTATAATATATGCAATACACGAGTCAAGGAAACGGTTTGCCTATTGTTGGCTCTCCTTCCGTATCCATATATAACTATGCACCCGTCCAAGTTGTGAATTTCTGTTTTTATTAACTCTCTTACCTCTATAAACAATGTGTAGGTAGCTGTCTATACAATATGGGGTTTCCTTGTCGACGGTATGGTGAAAAGGATTGTGGTAATGACACTTGAGTGTCTTGGAATGTTGAGGGTGGTGGAGGGGATGTAGGGTTAGGAAAAAGAATGAATAATGAGCGGAAGGGAGAAAGGAAATGAATGAATTGTTTGTGTGATAGCGCGAGGTGGGCAATTTATCAATTAAAAACGGTTATTAATTTGTGTTACGTAAATAAAGTTTAGTAAGATTTACGGGATTATCAGGAATTACCTGCCAGGTCGCACATCCGTATTCCTGTTTATGGAGTAGTAGGCATCTTAATCTGAGCGTCCGATGATTGAGCCTGTACGACATGGCAGGTTGTGTGACTTGGCAGATAAATTCCCGATTACAAATACTGGATTGTGGTTTGTGGTTCGGCCGTTCTACAAATAACTTTGTGCCCGAAGAAGGAAACTGGTAATTGGCCACGTGTGAGTACGAATGAATTCCAAGTGTACAAAGAATGAGCGATAAACTAGTTGTCCAAAAAGTCAATTGCAAAAGCCCATACAGTCGATTGGACACCAACCTAATTTACAGGGGATTATTTGGTATGTAACCAATTATTTGAAACTATTATCTATCTTTCTATCAAGGCAGATCCTCACCTTGCGAACCATAGATATAGCAAACTTGCTTTAATTGATTGAGACGAAAGTTATATAATCAGTTCGTTGTTGTTTATTTATTCTTTATTTCTTTTAATACATCCGTCAACTTGTTGATGGACCCAATTATTTCTTCCATCCGACGCATCTGCTCGTCCCATCGTTGAGATTCAATCAATCTCCGTTCTTGTTCATCTGCAATATGCTTCTCCAGCAAGCCTAAAAGTCTCTCTATTGTAGATTGCCTCTTTCGTTGGGGTAAGTTTTCCTCTTCGGCTGATATCGTTCGCTTTACAGACGAACCAGCCCTTCCGTACATTCCATTATAATCGTAACGATCGTACATACTGTTAGTAACATGGTTATTAGGAGGCGGCTCAAGCGTTAATGGTGGTTTGTTGAGATCTTCCTCCGTGCGATTATAATGACGACGAGCAGCTGTAGCATCATGTTTTGCTAAACGAGCCTCGTAAGATGGCTGCCTTCCTGCATCCCCTACAATCGATCTTACTTCCTCTCCATATTCAAAATGGAGTGGGCCTTTTGCTGACCTGTACCGGCCAATCAAACGATCCCATTGTTGCTATACACAACAGACAAGTGAGTAGAACAAATCAAAAAGAAAAAGAAAGGAAACTGATAATTAACGTACAAAATCGTTAATTTATTATTGGATGGCAAATTAATTCCAATAAATAAAACATACTGCATGTATGTGCACACAATTATGTATAGACTTGTAGGCCTAATCAGCCAAGCATTATTATAATTATAAGTGTTACAAGTAACTATATAATATGCACAATCGTGGAGAGTAATCATTGTCGAGAAATGCAATCCACTTTCTGTCTCTCTCTCCCCTTATCCCCAAACATACCTGACAAGAACGTTTTGTTCTTTCGGCAAAATGTTTATTATGTTCTTCTACGACTTTATCCCAAATTTCTCCCTTTTGATTATTCGTAGGTGCTACTATCACTTTACTGTAATATTTTCTCATGATACTGAGAAAATACTTGGTCTCCGAATGACTCCATATACGCCTGCCCGGTCCTCGGCTTCGAGTTTCATATCTCTCGACTCCATACCCACTTCCGGCGTTCCCATACTCTGATTTCATCGGAGGCACGTTGGGTAGTGTTGGTGACGTCTCGCTATGCCCTATTTGATCATTCGATAATATGTGGTAAGCAGGCATTGGTTGCCTATACATATTAAGCAAATATGCTGGGGGAAGAAGATGCGGTTGTAACGACATTATGACATAACAACAGCAGACGTTGCTGGTCACTTGTTAGATTTGAGGTTCTTGTGTTTTTTATGAGAATCTGATATATTAATATAAGGAACAGATGACGGATTTTTGTTTTTTAAACTTCGCCATGTGATTGATGTAAATGCTTATTGAGGTTTCGGAACCACGTTCTCGATAACTTATTCCAGTAATACGTTGGGGTCATTAGAAGGGAGTCGACTGATGTGTAACGAGTATTCCGTTGTGTTATCGTTAAAATATCTCCTCTCATTTTAGGCAACGAGTGAACAGGAGAATCCGAGAAAAGTTAATTAGTGTTCACACAAACACAAGTAATTTTACGCATGATTTGCATTTAGACAGAAATTCTATTATCACACGATACTTCTATCGAACCTTCTCTGTCTATCTTTTGATCGTATGGACTACTCAACGCACGGACGGCTGTCGATTACGCGCCTAATTACAACCTAATGTTTTATTTATTTATTTTCCCACCAACGTATATTATCGAATGCTAGAATCATGAATTAGGAATGTAGAGAATGTAGAGAGAATGCATGGGATGTCGAACGAACGTTAAGAACTGGACAAAGATTAGCATCATGGATAGCAAATAGAGCAAGCCCGGTGGATAATAAATGGTATGCATTATTTATCGCGAGAGAACTTAACAGTGTTGTGTTGACATAATTACGAAAGTAACCAATGTTGGTTTGTTCGCAAGCACAAGGATCTATAAAGAATTAACAGTCAAACAAATGATCATTAGTCATTCTCATTGAGCGAAATCATATTACCATATTCCATTGTCACCTTGTGAGATCAAACTTTATTAAATAATAGTAACTTTGTAGACCATTTATGCTGTAGCTCCCACGTTAACTGTCCCCTCGCTTATAGATGTCTATAGCTCAGCTTACAATATACCATTATTCGTAATATTATTCGCCTTAATTACGAAAAGCCGATCGTTCTAGTTATTTTTAAATGTACAGTAAATATTGCCCATGCTGACATACGATATCAGGGAAAGAGAAAAGAAGACTTTCCATAAATGATTGAATTCCTTCTCAATATGGATTGTTATTCGGCTTTGTTGATTTTTCCAATATCTAGTCTGGGAATATTCTTTTCTTGGAACTTTAATTGGCAATTTTAATCCTCTAAAAAGAGACTTGTATTAAGAAAACGCTCACACGAATATTGAAGATGTTGGGAAGAGTTTAGATAATCAATTTTAATATCTAGTGATATTAAATTTATTATATTACCCACGTTTCCTCATATATCATAGTCGAGACAAGATTTTTATCATTGCGATTTAAATAGTAATGACAAACTTTAAAACGCTTCTTAAATAAACCTGGCAAATACTATACGAACAGTTTACAAGGAGAGCTCATAAATAAAATAACTTATTTTAGACAAGTGGGATGTTTTGACTGTGACAGATGTTTACTGTAAGTGTAGACAAGCAGCATGAGCGAAGAGGACTGTTACATTATTAGGTCAAATGCTTAAATATGCGAGACATTCCAGTATGTATACAGTAGAATGGTATTACCGCTCTAATAGTATATAATAATAGATTTTGGTTATGTAAATCCCGTCACTATGTAAATTCGTGACCCTGGAGTTTTGCGTTCCTTCATTTAGTTGCACCTACGATTGAACGCTAAAAGGTGCAAATTTACATAATATAAATGCGGTTTTTAGGAACCCAAACGGGATTTACTATACATTTATGATTTAGCTGCATAAGTAGCAATATTTTCTTGCAATTGTAAATAAATATACGTCTGTAATCATAAACGCAACAGAAGCTAATTGGACTTTTAACAAATAGGTGCACGAAAACACATACAGCAGCTATAACGTGTCTAATGGTAAGGTCTTCCACAATGTTGCTATAGCTTGCTTTATATTACGAGAATGTTATGATGATTTATAAAGAATTACTTTATAAAAATTGTTGCCATGAACGACCCTCATGTCATTCCAGACTTGTTCAAAATATTTTACTAGCTTAACTATGAAAGTAAGTTTTTATACTGGACTCATGCAATACTTTCTAGTCTGGAATGCTCTACACATATATATCGAGGGATCAGGACATTGGGTAATACTTGAACATGCAAACAAAGTAAGCGGCGAGTTTTTAAAGTGGAAAATCCAATAATCATGACTCGCACGATATCAAAGCTAAACTGCGTTAATTTTTATTACTGTCGAAAATTTAAGGGCATTTCTACGTAACTCGGATTAATTGTCTTTACATTGGGTTTAGGCTAACTGATGTTCAAACCTTCTCTAGAATCTCCGCATTCTGCTATCTGAGAGAAGCAGCTGTCCATCCATACGGTATAAAATTGGCCAATCTATAAATTGCATATCAGAAATTGTCCAAGTATTTAATAAAAGGGACCTGAATCGACTATGATGACGGCATTTCTACAAATAACGGAAAAGAGGAGAGGAAATCTATTGGCTTCTTACCTAAATTACCCGAAAGACATCCAACGCGTCCGCTCATCCTTCCATGCAGGGGTTCACTTTATCTGCTGTTCGTTTTTCCAATACTTTTATCTTGGCTGCCCTCGTACACAATATTTTCGGGGACAGAATCAGTAACAGGCTTTGTCTCAATAGGACCATTGATTCTCATATAGGTTTAATCCTAATACTAATAATAATAAATTACTGTTAATATCGTAGACAAAGAAACAACGAAGAGAACCAATCAAAAAACAGGGGTATTCAATAGTATACAACATCACGAACCGGGTATTGCCGAGAGAGTTGTATGCTCGTTGTCAAAGCTTCAGAACCGTTTTCGTAGACAATAACAATAGCTTCATTCAATGCAAGCACGGGATTGCACGCGCGTAGGCTCCATATGAGATATGCGCGTAGGGTGGCCTGTTCCTCACAGAATAACGTCCGATTGTAAGCTTACATATATTCGCAAAACTAATGAATGGAAGTTTACGAGAGACGACTCCGCGAAACCCAAGCGGATAGTTCTATTAATGCTGACCTGGCGTTCGTACACCCTTCACATGGGACTCTCCTACCAAAGGTGTAGGTAAACTGGGAAATACTGTACTCAATTTGCTCATGCAAATCAGACTGGTGATCTGTGCGAACAAAATCCAATTATTGTTAGTCACGTTATTTTGACTCATTCCCGCGCGTTTAGCACGTTTAGACAAAACTAAGGTTCACAGACTATGATTTTTGTTATTCTTGTTTAAAAATGACAAGTGCAAAAATCCGAAATGGCTCTTTGTGTTAGTAGTTAGCAGGGGAAATGGGGAAATGGGGAATAAAAAATGGCAGGGAACATCGACAGAAATACCTTTGGAACGTTTTCATTTGTCACATTTTCAATGGTAAGGCGTCTATTGTTGGCTACAAATGATAGCGTGAGATCCAAAAAGTCTCCGCAAGAAAAGGAAGAACTTCCCTCGCCAATTATACTAATAGCTGAATTATGGTTAATCTATCTCCCATAATGAGAAAACTGAACAATTATCTGGCGGATAGAACACAATCATATTTGCTGGGGATCCCCGAAAACTTGTTCATCTGATATTGAATCAAATATAACTCAAACACACATTTCATCAGTTACAAAAAAATCAGCTGGAACGCTCACATGGTTTATTCTCGAGTTTACATTTGCTTCTCATCATACTTAATTATTATTTGTAATTGACGTAATTATTGTCCATTGTCATTGTTCGTATTATTGTTACGTCACCTTAATATAAATCTTCAACAAACAACACTCGATCCTTTTTTTTTTTTAATATATATAAAAATATTATTACTATCTACAAAGAAGGGTTGTGGTGGTGGTGATGGTGGTGGTGGTGATGGGGGTGGCGGTGGTGTGTGAATTACCTATACAGGTGCATCAATTTTACAAGCGTACACTCGATGTACTCGCCATATTGTCTCGTATACGTTTGTTTCCCGCATGAACGTCTCGACAAGCGCATCAAAGTGGTTGTTGGTGATCTCCATGGACTTGGAGAGAGCGGGACGTATTGATTTCAACATCTCTACTATATTTTGGAGAGCCTATAAACATGTGATTAAGAGAAAAAAGTGGTTGGGTAAACAAACAAATAAACAAAGCAAACAAACGGGGCAATCAGGCAATCAGGCAAGCAGGCAAGCAGGCAAGCAGGCAAACAGATGAGCAGACAGCAGATGGATAAGCGAGCAAACAAACAAACGAGATGATTTCTTGCAGACTTTCTCATTTCGATTTTTATAAACATATCATACGAATGGTATTTTACTTACCATTTCTCCGCTCTTCCCTGCTCTATTCCCTAGCACTATGTCCTTTACGTCGTGGGTTATGTTTGTCACTTGTTGGGTATTCTCCAAAATTCCTTTAATATGTGTTCCAATGAATCCACACTGACCTTTCGACTCTGTATGCCGTTTTACTACAAGAACAAAGGGGTTTTGCGTGTGTCAGATAATAATGATCTCTTGAAAACTTTCAAATTTCAATTGCACATGAATTATACTTGCAGGCGTTGGAGATTCTTCTTGTGACTTTCCCAGAACTATAGAACGTTGAATCCGCTTCTACAAATTCGACATATCCATTCGGTTTGGTTATTCGCACTAGTTCCATGACTATATAATTTTCCCACTGCTTTTGTGTTATTCCTCCCGAGAGCATTCGCTGATGTACGAAATCAAATGTGCTATCCGGGAATGGCATCTTTTCTAATATGTTCCATTCTAAGAACGCGGCATTTGTCGGATTATCTCTTGGGAACATGGGAGAAATGTCCAGACCAACAAAGAGAGTTTTTGGGTATCGGATTGCCAGATCACACATCCAGGAACCTGACGAAATGCAATTATTTACACAATGTTTTTAGTATGTGAACACGACGAGATATAAAAGATATGACGTTATCGTCGCCGATCATCTCATGTCTAACAATCAATTTAAACCCCCTTGTATTCAACATTCCCAATTGTTCCATTATCCCTTCCGTAACTTACCAGCTCCACATCTACAAAAACAGGTAAAAAAAAATGTTACGATTAATTGGAAATTGCAAGTAACATGGTAATGAATTACGTATTCATTGCTTGCTTGCTTGTAACTTACCCTACGTCCAACACCTTCGTGCCCTCTCCATTGAGCCTTTCTGCCACGGGTGACCCAAAGCTATTACCCCACCATAACCTCAACATTGTATCCTCCAAATCTTGTCTTACGATTTCAGCCTCATCGACAGGAGCAAAGTACGGCATGCTTGTTTGATATCGTCTTCCATCAATATATTCAAATTGTATAGACATTCTTTTATGAATGCTGCTGCTGCCGTTGCTGCTGTTGCTGTTGCTGTGGTTGTGTCTCTTGTCGTTGTTGGAGCTATTATTATTGTTGGTATTGGTATTGTTTGTGTTGTAGTTTTTGTCGTCCTCGTCGTCGTTGTTGATATTGACGTTGTTCTTCTCTTCGTCACCCAGTTTTTTTCTGTTTCTTGAGCATAGACAACCCATATCTGATGATATATTTATATATGCTATTAATAAAATGTCCAAATATTGAATGTACAATACTGTATATACTGAGCAGTGTTCAGAGTGTAAAGTGTCAAGGGAATAATGTGTATGAGAAGGGGAAAAAGTTATATTTATAAAAATAATTTACAAAGTTAATATTTCTTCTCGCCAACCAGGACGAAGTGAATCAAGCGTAAAGAAGAAAAAATGGAAAAGCGGAAAATCGTAAAAGACCTCGCATAAATGCCGTCTTTTAATAAGCAACAAAGACATAAGCAAGCATAATTTGCGCATAATAATGTTTATTTCTAAACTACACAAGCTTACTCTATATAGTATAACTAGTCAGAGAAATCCATTTATATGCCCCTTCGGTGGGGGCGTATAAAAAACACCGAGCAATGGCGGTGTATTGATTTATGAGCCGAGTTTCCTATTGTACTTGGGGAATGCATATGCAGCCGTTAATGGGAAGTTCGAGTTTGCATTAAGAGGCTTCAACTGTGTAACCGTTAAACGCCGGAATACTGATACACTGCAATCATCATCATGACCACCCACCCCCCATTATTGCCCCCCTTTTTTACCAAGACTGCCGACATACGAGAATGTGCATTGTTCCCGGTGAGTATTAGTTCAAGGGTGATTAATTGCTGCGCATCTGTAAACCATTTATAATTCGCCTGCATTCAATATAGTACGATTCAAGGCTATACAGGTATATGGCTATAAGAGGAAATGACAAATGGAGAAAACAAAAAACTTTGTATTGTCAGATGATCGAATACTTCTTGATTTGGTGGAATCGGCAATATGATATGCCATACTTGGAAGACAGGCACACAGCAAAGAATAATAAAGACTGTGGAGAGAGACAATCGCAATGGGTGGACGTATGAGTAATAATGGGCTCACTATTAGTTCACACGATAAATAGGAATTCGGCTAAATTGTGTCTACAATCGTCGTCACTGTAATCTTTTTCATCATCAAAGACGGGCATTGGCCGACTGTTTGGTTCGCGCAGATTTTTTCTTGTGCTGCTATATTTGACTTTATTTCCGGCGTTCGCTGATTAACAAGTGTCTGTTGCAATGGCGACTCTATTCTTCCACCGATCTGGGAATTCTTATAGTAAGGCGCAGTAGATCTCAGAGATATAACCACATATCGGAGGAGAGGAGAAACTATTTGATTTGTTACTGCAACTCGCATTGTAAAGCGTTATTAGCACACCCAGGTTACTCGTTTCGATGTGGTAGGATGATCAACTAACTCGTTATGAATTAATTAGTAAAAGAGCAAGACGCGCGAATAAACCATGTGGGGGCATTCGGATATTAATACGATCACATACTATATTATAAGTGTCGATAAGCCGGAAATGGGTGTGATTTTCCTCATCTCCATTACTACTACATTAATCTTTTCGCGAGTCTGACATTATTTTTAAAATTGGAAATTCGAACTAGTCTGTGAAACGTCCAAGTCGTTTTGGCCTAGACTTCTTGATATATTCTCAATAACCCGGATACTAATTCAGACTTTAAATATTTGCAGGCTGTTGTGTAACTCTGTGTTCTCTTGATTGGTAGCATGTTACAAATACAACGGCATAAGAAGACACACGTGTGATTGTGATGTTCAGGGCAAGCGCTGTGTCACATTAACATGGCTCAAGTAAACCGTGAGAGAGAATAGTTATTGACAAAAGACAATTTAAAATGTCGTTGATCATGAGAAGCGCGCGCAGAGGCAACTTGTAGTGCAAGTGCTATGTATCCGTATCAGAGTGCTATGTATCCGTATCAGAGTGCTATGTATCCGATCAGGATTGTTGTCCCTGAAATCAAACTACAACGAATGCAATATTTTATTTCTATTATGCTTACATCTATCGTTAACAACACAAGATCTCAAGTGTGCATTTCCATGTGGTTACAAGTAATCATTTGGAAAATTGAAATAGTATTACGACTGACTTCTAAGAACGCTGCTTGCTGACACAATAATAAACCCGCAGTAAACATCTGGCACTTAACCACCATAGAATATATTAGCAAGTCTCAAATCAAATCCTTGATCGTTTTAAGATTAGATCGTTTAAGCGAGATGTATCTAATAAACGACGTAAAATAGCTTTCATGTCTTCTGTTGATTAGAAGCTTCCATTGACGAGTTACACCTTGACTTATTTGGCTTTTCGGATGACTTCATCTCAATAACTGTTTCATCTGACGGTTTAATATGATCCGAAAATAGTCTTCCTGCTGCGACTGTGTTACAGATCGGGCAGAATATTCTAAAGAATTTGTAGAGGAACGTTTATTTATCTTCATAGAAAATCTAAGTGGCAGACTTTCCATAAAGAACAATAGAAGAGCCATTGTTACACCACAAGCAGTTAAAGTTTAGATTAAGTTATCTATTCACAACCATTGCACGAGGTATTTTAACGGGATTATAATAATAAAACCGAATGGTGACACTCAAATGTAATCAATCATATGTCCTTCCATACGAGTCGACTAATCATTTTGAATTCCAAAAGAGATCACGATAACAATAGCGAAAATACTAACATTGAACGCCTCTTTGTCTTTGAATTCCTTTTTCTAATGTCCTGTCTGTAAAAAGATCACAACACTTATTCATAGTAAGATCGACAACACGACCAGCTATAATTAGCGAGAGTAGTTGCGTATGTGCATTATTATCTACGTCATATCGATTCTTTTTTTCTTTTTTTCAATCCTTTTTGGGTCCTTCTAGCAGACGACATGTTAACAATTAATATATAACAACTGATATTGAAATACACCTTGTTCAGTCATATTGTTTGACTGAAGTTTTTAGAAGCGATCAACAGATACCAAAATTAGATAACAATGTTGAGGCAATGACGAGATGAGCAAGCCCATTCTTTACCTCTTTCTGTCATCACCCATGCTCGGAACAATTTAAACCCGTTAAACTCACGCTGGCAACTATCGTGTAGCGTAGATCTGTTAACTTTTGGTATGAGATCTTGTGTATTGTGGGCTGCGATCGAATTAACGTATATACCGACTTGTATAGTTAAACATTTCGTTCGTGAGAAAGACGATTATTAGTCAGCGAGGTTCTTGCGGCATAGTTAAAATGTCAAAGGGGAGGAAAAGACCCACTTGACAGTTTTTCAAATGCAACTATATCCAACAATCTCATCAGCAAAAGCTGAGGCTCGACAAAAGTTTTTTGATGATACAGTGTCTTTTTTTAAAGGGTTAGAAAACGATGTCAAGATTAAGTGTGTATATTATTGTGTGGCTATTAATAATAATAAATACAATTAAGCAATTACTGACTATGACATCGTCTCAGGGTTGGCAAGGGCACGGACGTGAAAACGTTTAATAGCAATTCGACTGTCCTAAAAATGAGATCACCATATTTCAAGGCTGCACTTTCCGATAGATGGCGCCATACTAATACAAGCCAATAACTCTTTGTGAACCGACCATTTCGCTTCCGTATTTAGTAAACTTTACGAGTAAGTTGACAGATTTTGATGTTTGACGAATCTATATCATAACAATATTAGGTTGTGTAAACTCTCGTATAATAGGTATATCTATGAAGGCGTAGTCTCTCTTGGAGACGTTGAACCTCAATGCCTCGTAGAAATAATGCAAGCCGCTGATAAACTGTTACTCCCAGAACTCGTTAAAATCGTCGAGGTACATATTATAAGGAAACACCATCAATGGCTAACAAACGATTTTAACACGTTAGAGAAAGTATTTAGATACTCGGGCTGGAAATGTATTCAGGCGTTTTACATTAACGAAATTAGCCAAAAGCCAAAAACTTTTTCGAGTCCCAAAACTTTACCTCTATGGATGTGAAAATCATAGAAAGTGTAATCAAATCTAACGAACTCGCGATAGACGAACTCAGTGTATGGAAATATCTAATCAAATGGGCCGAGAATCAACCCGGAGGACTCGATTGTGCGAAACAAGCTCTTGAAAGCCTGACGCCCTTGGTACGGTTTGTTAGTATCTCGGCTGATTCTTTTTACGAAAAGGTGAAACCGTATAAGCGATTTATACCAGAATGCTTATATGAAGAGGCCATCTGGGCGTACGTTCAATTGACTGTAAAAAGATCGAAAAAGGACCTGAAAGATCCTCGAGCAAAGATAATTGACTCGAGATATATAACTCTTCATCACGCTGCATTACTATCCGGTTGGGTGGATCGCAAACCAACAGCGTATTCTACCAGTCAGATAACGTATGAATTCAAACTTCTACTGACCCATATAATAATCGGGAGGCATTTATTTCATCGACAATCATTTCATCGACACCGACAGTCATTTCACGTGACACATTGTTTATCGCATTTATCATTGGTTTTCGATGAAATTTATGTCGGTGAAACGTACTGTCGGCGAAATGATTGTCGATGAAATGAACCGGACCCTAATAATCAGTATGCTGGGAATGCGCGACCCAAGCATTATGATATTAAAATCAGAGACAGTCGCGTGTTTACCATGCAAGATTATGAAGTTTTCGCTCTTCAATAAACCGCAACTGACAACATTGTTGTGACATTTCCTTGTAAAAGTAGAGCATCAACTATATTTTGACTTTTGTGCGAGGGAGGAATCTTTAGCTACGACGTTTCAGTAGCAATAGCCTCATCAGCATCAAGGAATAGAAGTCCGTTCGTCAGGCTTGATTCTAGCATCATATCGACAATAAAGTTTTCAAAGCAACAGTATTTTCAATATTTTTGGAGGGGTTCTTAGTCACAGTGAACCTGGATATAACGAAGTGGTATTTTTCTTGTAAACAGTTCGATCACGTGCCATCATATTACTCACCAATTTCGATACAATGATAATGAAAAGTAAACCAACTACACAGTCAGTCTCGATAAGTCGGCCAACAGTATCCCGCCTCAAATGGCCGAGTTATCGAGAAGGCCGATTTATCGAAAACCACGTGATCGAAGATATGCATTTAATTTAATACACTAACATCACAAAATAATCTTGCAGACTAGCTTGTCTTAGAGAATCGACTTGTTTTCTTCTTATCTGACGTTGTAAATCTTTCATTCGTATTATCCTAATGCATGTCTATCGTATGATTCTAATGATATGTTTACTGCTTAATCGTATGACTTTAATCGTATGATATTTAGCTCTTTGGTTGTACGATTCTAATGGCATGATCGTAGTGTCTTAAAACATTGCCAGTGTAGCCAATGTGTAAGTATTGTATTGGACAATTAATCATCGTACGAGAATGAAAAGAAGATCCGCCACCGACTTCCGACTTATCGACTGTGTAGTACTACACTTCGAATGTCACGTATTCTAATTCCTCAAGAGTAGTTCGTGCTAATTCTACACTTGTTTGAGAGATTTTTTTTCTTAAATTAGAAAGGGTGATTATAACAGAATTATCAACATTCAAATTCTTTTGTGCGATGTATGCAAGCATGTTATCACAGCCCAACAACGCTTCAGAGCTTGTTACGATTCGTTCTTCAAAAGGTTCTTCTTCTTCCTCTAATATTTCAATACGATTAACTGTATCTGCATCATCGTTAACCATGAAGTTTCGTGGCTTTCGCGGTGTTGTTTTTGCGTCTCGTAAACCCATGAAAATTAGTTATTCTGTGAGGAACAGGCCACTTATTATTGTGCCTTTTTTTTCGAAACGAAGCGGCCACAAAAAATCGCGTTCGTCCCAGAGTGATAACAGGCTTATGATGGAATGCGGAAACCATTGAGATGGGTGATATAGAAAAATTCTGTCGCAAATCTTTTTCGGGATCGAAATGACAAAGACGAACTTTGCTAAATAAAATCAATCAATCAATAAATAAATCAGAACAAAAAATAACAATTATACTTAGCAGTTAATGCTTCATTAATCGCCTCATCGATAATGTTTGCAGGCGCTTTGCCATGTGTACCTTGAAGCAGCATTCCAAACGGTTCGCACGAATCTGCGTTCACCCCATACGCATGATTTTTGAAGTCTCTTGTCCTCACGCTCATTAACGTCTTTTCCTACACGAACATCCGTGTAAAACTTAAGCTATAGGTTGAGATTTTATCCAAACCCGCCGTGATGGACCAATATGCAAATCTTTGATATAGAAACGGCGGTATCGACTCCAGCGGACAACTGCATTATAAGCATATCTCGACAAGCCCATCCACCGTTTTCAATAGCTGCTTTTGAAGGTGATTTGGATATAAGTGAACTCTCCCTAAGTGCACCCATCCCTAAATGCACACACTATATAAACTCTCCATAAATGCATGGTATGGTTCAGTCCCAGCTTATAAGAACATTATATATTTTGCTCTCTGTAAATGCACACTCTCTCTAAATGCACACTTTTGGATTTTTTCACTATGGTCCTGACAACGTGCACTTAGGGAAAGTTCACTGTACTTTGATTGGCAGCGTACGATGGAGAGCTTCCAAGTGCTGTCGTCTGTTGCGTGCTGCTGTTGTCCTGATCTTGCGCTTTTTTCCTTGTTTGGGGTTCTCTCGGGCGACTCTTCTTCCTTGCTTGATTGCAAGGATATCTTGGGAAAGTTCGTGCTCGTCGGAGGTCGTTTCGTTGACGAAAACCATGAGTTTTGTAGTATGGGGGGAGTAGAAGAGGTTGCGGCAGAGTGGTCACAATGGATAACCACAATTTCTGAGACCATGGAGTCTTAAGTTTGCAGGTTGGGAAGCTGACGAGTTGTTCGTAGGTTGGGGAGCTAACGAGTTGTTCGTGGGTTGGGGAGTGGAAACTTTTTTGATGGTGGCGGTGGCGGTGATGGTGTTAGCATTGAGAGTTGATTTTCAAATAAGAAAAATATTGCAACGGTTAAAGAATTTAAGGATAATATGTTTATGGTTGTCGGTATTTGAATGGCAGAACCGAAAACGCGCGTGAAACATGCAATCTTGTATGGAGCCTACGCGCATAAAACATGAAATGTCAATGGAGCCTACGCGCATGAAACATGCAATCTCATATGGAGCCTGTGCTTGCATTGAATGAAGCTATTGTCCGCTGCACTATGACAATGCTCTGGTTTATTAAAACGATCGATATTAATATTGATATTTAATATTAAACCATGCAGTTTATTATCGCTTAAATCTAGCTTCATAATTAGCATTATATTGGAAGTAATCGACCCATTTTGGCCTAGTAAAGTATCTATTCCATGCCTTCAACCTTCTGGGGATCTGTCAGACTGTCACTTCCCTCTTGGGTGTAGTAACCAAGTTGTAGTAAAAAAGTGACAATAAACGGTAAACGTGGGAGTTATATAGCTATTGAAAAATCTTTTCTCAAGAATTGTCGTTGGTTAGCTTGGGAAAAAGGGAACCCAAAAGAGGTATATTATTAGCGTCTTGCCATTAGTTTACCAAAAGACGGCTAGTAATTTTAGTTACGGCGTATTAATTAGTATCCGGCTTTGATAAATCGTTTAGCAAAGGACTCTCGACGACCAATTGAAAACTGCGCCGTCTTCGAGGAATGGCTGCGGCAAGCAAGCTGTCAAGAGACGGTCCTACCATCGCCGTCATGGCCTAGCCAAAGTTTCAAGTCAATGAGAATCGAACACGTGAAAGGGTAATCAATGTGATTAACAAAAGAAAAAACCAAAACGAAGACAGTAAGAATAAACTAGGGGGGTTTACCAATGATGGTAATAACCTGCACAGTTTATTTAAGAAGAAGAAGAAAAAAAGAAGAAAATAGAATGAAAGAAAAAGAATCCATCTATCTATTCCCATGGTGAAGCTGAAGCTTTTTTTATTCAAGATTGAACACCCTCTCCTTGTTTACGCCCTTGTCATCCGGGTTTTCTGTAAATATCTTTGATGTGTCCAAAGAAGGATTTGATTTTGAAGTTGCTTTTGTAAAAATAATTAACATGCTTAATATAACATTTGCATCGTCATCCAATCATCCTTCCCATCATTATCTCGATTTTATCTGCATCTTATCATGTCTTTCTTTAATGGGCGTCCTTATTCTAATATTAAATGAACGTTCTCTTAAAAGTTATATCGCGGTATCCCTTCTCCTTAATGTGTAACAGCATCGATACTCTCTCATCTGTTGAATATATCCGGAAATGTAATTGTGGCGTGACTTGCCAAAGTGAACATCAACAATTGTTATGTCATGCTTGTCTCTCTCTCGAAAGAATCCTCGTGCTTGTCGAGCATTCTCTCCCAAACAGACAATGAACATTGTATGTGAAGTACCCTACAATGGGCGGAGAGGGGCCACTGCATAGTTGGATGGATTGTTGTTCAGATCACGGTGCGTTATTTGGGTTAGCATCATTTGGGCTGAGAGTCTTTCTCACGTCACAAAGTATGTCGTTGCTCGCTTTGCTCGATTCATTGTGTGTTCATAATTGCTAATACTTTTTAACATTCGTCTTTTTGATTGATAGAAAACATTCCCAAGCCATTTAACAATAAATGCTGTACCGCCTATTCGGAACGCATCCTGTTGATTAATAATATCATAATCCCACGTGTGCTGCAGCAGTTCGTGGACGATTGCGCAGACGGATAAGCCGCCACAAAAAGAGCGTTTTCAGTGATTATACGTAGATATACAGTATTGTATAAACCAGATTATCTTTACTCGATTGGGAATTATTAATACCCTCCTCGCATAAGGGTGCGCGATTAGATGATTAGATGGGAATAGTGTGTGTATGTGTGTGTGATGTGTGTGTGTGTGTGTGATGTGTGTGTGTGTGTGATGTGTGTGATGTGATGAAGAAAGAGACACGAGTGTCATAAGGAGTCAGAGTAGCGTGAATGTAGATGGCAGTGTCAGACACGGTAACACTCCCTGACGACCTTGTGTGATACACACCTGGGACAAGTAGACAATTTTTTGAATTTTCAACATCTTATCATGAGATTTCGTATATATTGTCCGTAAATAGAAATGAAGGAGCGTACATATGGAATCAATACTAAACCGGAATATGCTGCTAAAATCTTTTATTTGTATCTGTTTAGTCTATTTTATTTATTCTTATGATTATTGCAATTTAATTTATAACAGCCCATGCTCCTAAATTACACAACGCCTGAATGTTTATGTAGCATTTCTCACAAAATCCCCCCATAATTGGTTTTTTTTTTGTCATCTTGCATCCAACTGGCTATCATTACCCCACCTTTTCCTGATCATCTGACAGTTTGATCATTGTATATACGGGTATTACTTCAGTGTTTCGTCAATGTTTCGTGTACTTACTCCCGCCGTTTTTTTTAGTCGAGGTTCTTCATAAAGCTGCTGCTTCCCCAAATATTTATTAATCTCTAAAACTATGGCTATCAACGAAGACTATCCGATGAAAGACTCTGAGGAATCCGACAAAGACCTAATGCAAACTGAACAAACTTACGACTCTGCTCCTACAAGTGCTACCTTTTCTCTTTCAGCCTCTACCGGTATCTGTCTCCCTTCGATTGCAGTAAATGATATAGACTGGGAACGACATTCTTCAGATAGATATTACTATCCGCGACAGAGAATTTCACACGATAGACGAAACGGAAAATTAATAGGAGAGAAAATAGGAGAGACCTTTGAACACGGAAAAGAAGGCGACGAAGCTCCCCCAAACACTGTAACCACTTTGATCCATCAACCTCACTCTGAACTGGCTGTGAAAATATCCAGCATCACAAATGCATCAAGAGCCGGATTGGACCTGGCTGGAATATTAACAAAATTCACCCTCGATACAATGAAGCTGTCAACGAAAACTTCTCTCGGCATTGCTAAAGCAGTCACTGGCGTAGTATCCAATGCTATGATACAAGCAACTCAGGATGGCATAGGGTGAGTAAAATTTTTAGAAAAAATTAACAACTGATCATCCATCTCTACATTTCTACGCGACACGTTCTTTGGCAAACAAGAATAATCAAGCCTGAAAACTCTTGCATTCAAAAATAAAATAAAATAAATATGAAAAAGAAGGAAGGGAAAAAAAAACAAAAACAAAAACAAAAATAAAAACAAAAACAAAAACAAAAACAAAAACAAACCAAAATACCTTCTTCGCTAACGATCAATTCTAACGTAGACGGCTCTTTCTTCCAAGACTTATCGATGCCTCGACAGATTTATTGCACCGGACCATTTCCATAACTGAACAAATTGCACTAGCCGGACTAGAGCTAACATCCGAAACGGTGCAATACACATTGTCGACGGTATCTGATAGCACGTCCTTAATAGATACTCTTTTTGGAACTACCGACGCTGCGAAAGCCCTTGCCGAATTTGTTGCTCTAGTCAAACGAGAATGGGTCGTCCGCGAAGAAGGATTCCATGACTGTGAAGCCATTGGGACATTGGGTGTATTCCAAATAATAAAGGCTTTAGCTGCCTGGGCTTCTTTACAGAGCCTCACGAGCCAACGTTGGGAATCGGAGATGACCGGGTGGAAAAAAGTTAAACTGGTCGATTTGAGAGATGTCTTGGAGGAGTGGGAAGAGATAAATCATAGCGATTCCTTATATGACGGCCTCGAATGGTTAGAAGATGAGGAAGATGAAGAAATGGTTCTAGTACAATCAAAGACGGATAATTTGGTCGTTGGTGAATTGACAAGAGATGAAAAGCAGGGCGTACCGAGATGGTCGGCGCCGGTTGATGTATACTCGCCTCGTTTAAATTCTCTCTTTGCCGAAACAACTAAAAGATTCTCCAATCCTTATCTCGAAGAGTATGTTAATCAGCCGGAAGAAGAAAAATTATTTACTCTACTTCATAATCTAAAACGGTATTCAAAATACTCCTCAACAGCATACGACTTTAAAACTGCTATAATCAACAAACTTCCCTATAAAGCGGCTATATGGCGAGAAAACGGTCGTTTACAGCGATATACGTTTGCTCGCGTTAATAACCTTCCACTTCATTCGATCGTTCATACTTCCCATCAAGTACAATCGACAAATAACAGTCATTATAAGCCCACTTATATTTTATTCAAAGATCACGATACAAAAAGTATTATTCTTGCATTGAGAGGGACAATGTCCATACACGATTTGATTGTTGATTTATCTTGCGAGTACATGGACTTCCAGTTACCAGAGGATATACAGAAGGGAGACGAAACAAAATATAAGGTGCACAAGGGAATTTGGCAAGTAGCCAAGGACTTGTCTACTCCAGGAGCGGAGGGTAATGTGTTTGACGTTTTAAATAAGGAGATGGAAGATAACGAAGACTATGGATTGGTTCTTACTGGACATTCGCTCGGGGCAGGTGTGTACAGTTGGGTGAAATATATTAGACTGGGGGGGGGGCTTGGGTTTGGGATAATTAATAATATGCTCAACAATTATTGGATCAGTATGCGAGAAGAAGAAGAAGAAGATCTTACAATTATTCAATCAATCTTTTTTATCTTTCAATTTGACGTTAACGATTTCCCATTTCCACGTCTCTTAGGTGTTGCAAGTGTTCTAGCTCTCCTGTGGGCAAGCCCGACGACGAGAATGACAACACGCTGGTCAAAACTTCCTCTTGGACGACGCGTTCATTGTTACGCCTTTGCCACACCGTGCGTAATGTCCGCCGACTTGTCCAAACGGTCCAGAAGCCTAACCACATCCGTTGCTTACGCCAACGATTTTATCCCGCATCTATCTTTAGGTCACGTGCAAGACTTGCGTGACATGGTTTGCTATATGGGGTCCAAGATCGACCCGGAGACCAACAAAGACCTAATGTCGACTATTTTATCCAAAGTGATTGAATACAAATCGAAACAGTTCTCTGGTGACGATGATCAGGAGAAAGAGGCTGCTAAGAAGGAACTTGAAGAATACTTTTGGAATACTAGATCAAAAGTGCATTCAATAATGTCATGTCCCAAATTATATCCAGCCGGAAAGTTGTATTGGATTATAGGAAAGGATAGAATGCCATTCTGTTTAAACGATGACGATGAGGAGGAGGATGGGTATAGAAAAGATGATAGTGATAGGAAGTATAATATGTTGGAAATCGAAGACGTGGAAAGGATGTTTGAGGAGATGTGGTTTTCGCCGCACATGATTACTGATCATTTACCAATGACATACGGTGAGTACGGATCGGGACTGTTTGGGATACCAAAATATAGCTAAGCTGTAAAGATTTCCCGACTTGAAACTAACATTCTTTTCTTTTCTTTTCTTTTCTTTTCTTTTCTTTTCTTTTCTTTTCTTTTCTTTTCTTTTCTTTTCTTTTCTTTTCTTGCTTGTTTTCCATTATATGCATGTTTAGAACACGTATTGAAGCATTTATAATAGAGAATGAGATCTGTGGGAAGGGGTCACCATTTACGGGCATTATCATTTCCACTATTCGCATCACTCTCACTGTAAAGATATCTGACATTGAATTAGAGTTCGTCTGAAAAGACATTTTAAAACATATTCTCGTTAGCTTTTGTTTTATATACCTTTGAGGATGTATCGAATCCTTTTACGCCGAAAGTTTTGTAAAAAGAATAAATTATCCAAAAAAAATAATAATTTTTTTTCTTAGCATAATGTAAGATTTTATTCTTTAATAATAATTCTGTAGAAAAATTCATCATAATTACTATATTATTATTTTCTCTTTATTCGAATCTCAGCAATGGTGAACGAGCTCCTGAGCGAGTTTTACGATAAGAACATTGTAACCTAAAAATCGCAAGGATTATCAGTTATGATAAACCGGTATAGCATTTCAAAGTCATTTCATTCATGTTGGTGTCAAAAAAAAACTATTGGCTTATATTCTCTTGTGCAAAGTTTTCAAGTCTTTAGAACGGGTTCTTGACCCGGGTTCATGCTTTCAAGCTGCTGTGACCGCGTCGTTGTTTGGGCTGATTTTCATTTTCATTTTCATTTCCAACTTGAACTTGCTTTATAGAAATGTCGTCAATGTGCATAGTAGTCCCATGCTTCCAAGTAAGGGTTTTTCGCGATATGCCGTATCTGTATACCGACTTGCAATATTCTAGTCATACTCGATTACTGTTAAGGGCGATCTGTCTAGACCGCACCAATTGGGCGTAAAAAAACCAATGAATGTAATGTAGCAAGCAGTAAATCCAAGAGATATGCAAGCCTTCAACCAACCAAAAGCAAAAATGGCAGAACGCCCATTTACAACAGAAATGCCTTTTGCATTGTCAACTGTCCTATTCTTAAATATACGTCTCGCATAATCCCTTACCAATATGATATATGTTCACGTGTGATGGCATCTAAAAGTACATTTTTTACTGACGAGAAGTCCCGCATGCTTTGCATACAACCCGTTTTCCTGAAAATCAAAGGATGTTGCATACTGTATAATGATAACGATGTTGATAATATATATAAATGATGAATAGCAAAGGTTCAAGATATATAACCATATATGGTTATAGTAATTTATCAAAAATGAGCACATCTTATGTAACTAGCTTGTGGGAAGAAAGAAGAGTCTTTTTTTAATGAACTCAGCCCATAATCAAGGTTAGCACTATTTTTGCATCGCACCACCAACTATTTATTCTATTACTATTGAAGCCTTGTCTAATTCTACCCACACTCGAAGCACAGCCACCCCCGAAGAACTCGCATCGCGAATGTCCCCCCAAAGAATTTCATTTCTCACAATCCGACTCACCCCCCCAAACAAAGTAAAATCAATTTCCCGATAACAAGTTCTTTTTCGACGGGACTATGGCGGCGTAAATTTTTGTGTAATACGATTGTTATTGAAACGTGACACAAAGTCTTGCAACAACGAATTAGAAAGCCGATGACGAATAGTTTGTTTGAAAGGAAAAGGAAATGAGTCTGACCCGAACTTTTTTTTTTTTTTTTCCGGACAAGCCCAGCGGAAAGAAATAGGCCGTTGATATTGAAAACAATTCGCTTGTCTGCTCGTGACCGTTATTACAATTATTGGTCAAACCGAGGGTAGTAATAGACCATCATCATTTGTCAACCACCGCTCTTTTGCAACGATGAAGTGTCGATTCTTTTAATTCTCGTGTTGACTCTCATGTCACTTGTATATCTCAATCTACGCCGGTTCTTGAAGAGAGGGCTGGGTTCCGTGGCGGATATTGGGCCGGCAAACGGAAACAACATGGATTGCAGTGATGCGGGGGGGGGGGGACAACGCTCAAACGTCCTTGGGGTCATTTGGGTTGTGATTGAGCTCGACTAAAGCAGTAGGCGCTAGGGACATTGTGCATAAGCAAAAGAGATAGGGTAGAAATTGCAGATATGCTTGCAAAGACAATGCAGATGTAATGTGGACCGAGTCATATTTGTGTTTTAAGACGCAAAAGCGATTGTTTATAATGATAGAACGGGTAATATGAAACAACAATGGACAGCCTTCTATGTTTCATATCAGTGTGTATTGTTTGTTTATTTATAAATACAAATAAATGCGCCTTATATTTATTTGCTTATCTACTCATCTAAATAACCATCTGGTTATTGTATTTTTTTTCCCCATTGAATGCTTTGTCTCTTTACTTGGGATAATAAGGGATTCCTTTTTTTTTTGGGAGACCGTGTTGTATAACAACCTTGTCATTGATATCGCGCACATTCTCTCCCTTAGCATGTGCCAATCAAAACCAGTAATCTTCCCAATCTTTGTTAACAATGAATTGTTTATTATCTGGACAATCAAAATAATAAAAAGTCCTTGTGTCTTGCATGCTTTTGCATTGTTCATCTCTGCACTTTTTTTTTTTTTTCGACCATTGGATATTCGACTCCACATGCTGCACCTACATGCTGTGCCATCTGTAGGAGAGGAGGATTGACATTCACAGCACAATACGTCGGACTTTTTCACATCCGTAGAAAGCAATTGTCAGTAGCAGAGAATCAGGCTATGTGTGTGGACTAGGATAACATCATGCGAGTTTCAAAGATCACGCAATTATGCGCCACCTTATTACGCGGCCCTTTATTTTCCTTTCATAATAATGTGCTATTATTCTCTTGGTTGCACTGCCTGTTCATTGTGCCTAATATGTTCTGGAAATTGACCCGTTTTGGGATCGTGCAAATCCCTGGGCTAAGATCTCTAACCTAGAACCTTGCCCCTCAACAACTATACAACTCGGCTACCCTCATCCGATAATTATGGCAAAGGTGATTGGTGGAAGAAATCTCACATGATACTGACCTGAACATCCGGGTCCACATACACATTACATAATGATTTGACGTTTCGACCAATGCGTATTTGAGATGGACCACGGATGTTGGTGCTACTTTCCCTTAAAAAGAGGGTAATATGTCGGGTGGCCTAGATGTAGATAGATTGTATAGTTGAGAGTCGCACGACGTCTAACCCTACATGCAAAACCTGTTTCTGACCCCGCAAGAAGATTTGCAAATTACACATACAGCGCCATACCATGTTGAACGGGGACAAGCTCTCTTTTCTTTTTTTTACCTTCCCACACACATAATTAATTACAGACACGGACACTGGTACTCAGACTATGTGCTAATAATAATAATTATGCTTTATTATGTCATCTTTTGTTATGGCAATTGTTTGTGTCGGGATACGGTGTTAAATACGGTATAATAGTATAGTGATAGAATAATATGTACAATGAGCATTTGTTGCGTGTGTGTGTCTTGTGTGTCTTGTGTGTCTTGTGTGCGTCTCTGTTTACTCTGCCTTCCCCACATCTACCACCAAAGCTCAGCCTTATTAGATGTTATCACCAAATAAGGACACAAGTGGAATATATGTTAACATACTGACAATTGTTATTGTATAAAATAGGATAAATTAACGATCGTCACAGGGAATAACTGATCCAATAAACGGAATGCCGAATAAGAAGCCTTAACTGGGCTGTTCATATTTCTCATCATTATATGATACACTTTTATAGAAACGAGCGTTGTTATGACACATAAATTCGCTTATTATAATAACTATGACATTATTGTATTGTTGTATCGAGTATTGTTTGTTCATTGAGCCAGTTGGAATTATAAATCCTTATATTAATTTATACCTTTGCATTATCACATTTGTTCCAGGCCATTCTAATTCTATATTACCTTTAATCACATACCACAAATTTCGTAATAATCTACTCTCTCTTTTTTTTTTACTACTGTTATACAAACAGAACCTTAATACTTTTAAATCCCCCTCCCCAACATCCTCCGTGCCCAACAGTCTATTTCCCTTGTCTCGTAAAAAAGACCATTCCAATATACCTACTTGCCTACATCTCTAACATCTTGTTATTCGTATTCGTATAGTAAATATTTAATAATTACACCAAGACCAAATTGTATATAAACAAGTATTTTATCGATTATCAAATCCCCTGCTTAACTTTGCTATATTTACTTATCTATACAGAAAGTCGCATTCATATGACTTTTACTATCAACTGCTATAAATGACCACCCTGCGCATGCATAATCGTCAGGCGTAGAGACCACACAGATTTACGTACACAATCTATATAAATTCGCTATTTGCCCTCCTGTCAAAAAGTAGAGAAGTCTACACTTCTTTATCGCTACTTTCCTAGTGTCTCCCCCCACGTCTTCTCTCAAGGAAAAAGATTCAAAGCCCAGTTTTTTTTCCTTCAATTCAATAGAAAACAAAAAAACATCCCCCAACACTTATTACATTAACATCCATCCCCCGAATTAATATCATTGGTCAACTCTTCTTCTGAAGAAAACGAGTGCTCAACGACTTTTACTTTACTCTTCCCCTCTCGCTTTATCAGTAGGAAAAATTCATGTTCTATAGACTATTATAAATTCAAAAAATCACCCAAAAAACGGGCAGCGCCTGATACTTCTGAGCCAAACAATCATCTTGGAAGAAAAGAAATTATCATTGTTCTTATATATTTATACCGTGTAAATAGCAAAATACCTCCTCTTATTTTTAAATTCCCTCCCCCATTATTATTATTATTTCCCCAATTCCGTGTATATTTATAAAAAACGACAACTTCCACAATGTCCAGCAACATTACCTTCAATCCTGCCGATAAACTCGGTCAACATATAGACGGATTAGAACTCTGCAGTACAATAGGCATCGGAGCATACGGTGTTGTCTATTCAGCCATAAATCCGACGACAAACAAAACATACGCTGTCAAATGCCTTCCGAAATCACTCTCAAATGCACGCCAAGCCCGTCTCCAGTATGCCGAAATTTCCCATCACGCGCAAGTATCCGACCACCCCAATATTGTAAAGCTAGAAAAGATAATCGACACCCCCGACTCCTTGAACGTGGTTATGGAACTGTGTCAAGGAGGTGATCTGTTTTCCATGATCACTGAGAAGGGTGGATACGTTGGAAGAGACTTGCTGATCAAGAAAGTCTTTGTTCAACTATTGGATGCGGTGCAATACTGTCATCGGAAAGGTATTTATCATAGAGATTTGAAACCAGAGAACATTCTGGTGTTTGATGACGGTCGAACTGTTAAATTGACCGACTTTGGGCTTGCGACAACGGAGCCGTGGAGTAGAGACTTTGGTTGTGGTTCGACCTTTTACATGAGTCCAGGTAAATACATCTAATATATTGTACAACCAATTCGCTGCATTCTCCATTCTCCATTCTTAATTTACTTATTCTTTTTTTTTTTTTCTCCACAACCAGAATGCCAAGGGGGATTATACAGAAAAGTCCGAAGTTACTCTACAGCCGCTAACGACATTTGGTCTCTTGGTGTAATCCTAATCAACCTTACTTGTGGTCGCAATCCTTGGAAACAAGCCTGCCTCCGCGACGAAACATTCGCTGCCTTTCTCTGGGACCAAGATTTTCTCAAGACCATCCTTCCTCTTTCCGATGAGCTCAACTCTATTCTCAAAGACGTCTTCCGGATCGATCCCTTAGCACGAATCTCGTTGGACGAGTTACGGGCCAGGATACTCAAATGCCGGCAGTTTACAGTCGCCAAGTACGATGCCTTTAGCAGAGCAAAAAGAAGAGTGTGGAATGTCCACAGGCCCGAGGAGCAAGTTGTACAAGAAAGGATACCGCCGCAAGAGAAATATGTTGCAGCCGGAAACGCTGGAAATTTTTGCGAGCCCAACGATAACGAGTCGAGTCTCAAGACACTGCGAAATGAATCCACCGATTCGTCGGCTACCGCTTGTTCGTGGTATTCTATGAATAGCCAGATGGATTTCACTACACCGGCAAATCAGTTCCTGGGCGATTATTCGCACGATAGTTCACATAGTTCAGCATCGAACGGCTCGACGGAATCGGTCACAACTCTTGCGAATAGTGATGCAGAGATGGTGAAGTGTGTCGAGGATATAGAAGGACTGCATTTGGGAAGTTATTACACATTGAACTTTGAAAGCTGAATTAGTTTGTTCGAACGACAAGTCAGACATTGTAGTAGGGGAGAGAGGAGGTTGGAATTTGTGGTCAGCGTTAAAACTCTTTTCTTTGGTACGATCAATTGTTTGGTTTTTTCTTTAAAAAAAATTGTATTCCGCGGATTTTTATTCTATTGGAAATTCGCTCGCTTATTAACAACGTTACTTCGCCATCAAATTTGAATATGTATATATTCATCATAATATGTATCAAGCTTTGCATCTTTGCAACAAGCTTTTCTCCCTCCATCCGTTATATTTACTATGTACGTGTCTAGTTAGAATTATTTTACCTACTTACAACTTACTTTTATTTTTAAGTCTAAAATCTATTTTAAACCTATTCCCCCTGTACTTACTTTTCTCCATTGCGTAAGTTCTTCTCTACTTATATATATATATATATATATATACCTTCCTCGACATGGTTTGTAACCATTCATATCTTGTAAATTTCTTATAAACAAAACACCCCACTTTTTACCCTTTAAAATTTTGGTAAAGAAAAAGCACGGTCTTTTTTCTTTAACCCAACAATTTTTGTATATAGACCGCCCACCTTTTGCCATTAAGTTTGAATAAAAATTCTAAATTTATTGATTACATGAAAGCACACTCAATCAATTATATGGATAGCGCTCATGGCATTCTTTGTGATGCCGCGTATGGTTGCTTTTTCAACGTCAATTTAGCGTCTGTCTGTTATCAACATCCCGGATGCTCTGGACGTGCGTACTTCACGCGCATTCATTGCGAGCAGGGTCAGGCACTTCCGAGGATATATGCATTCAGTATTCCCTTTGTATTATCGTACATATGTTTCTTGGATGAGCTCGAACTAAAATTTGATTTGGCTAACTTTGAGGCACGCTAGTTACAGCCGTTCTGTTCTCAGTATTTACAAGTCATTCTAGAATAATTGAGTGGAGCTATTGGCGACTTGTAAGAAAAAAAAATCTTACTCCCATCATGAACGCAATGAGAGCTATAATAGCTGAAAATAAATTTGCGTAGCTTTTTAAAAGTGGTTATTTCGTATATCAATATCTAGGTAGCCAACCATATATCTCGGCTTGTCAAGTCATCCGAATGATCTTTCTAAGTGGCCATCCAAATATTAGTAACAGTAAGTTTAGTAGTTTATCCATTACAGCATTACACGTCATTGTGACTGTTACATTTGTTTGTTTCATTTTATATTCGCGTAACCATAACAGAGACGCGTAATAATTTCTTATTTCTAGCTAGTGTATTTAAAGAATGTAGGGTACAGATCTAACGAAAAGTGGGGTCTATTGATGGAAGGGAATTAATACAGCTTATCCAAGAACTCATATTTTACCAAAAATTAAGCCTATATTGGCCACAATCTAATCCCATCTTGACTACACTATCACTCCTTGTTTGATAACTACGTATGTCACAGATACGCGCTATCATTTAAACTATTAATGTTATTTTCTTGCATGAATTGGAAATACACATTTACGAGCACATTGAGTACAATTGACTCATCAAGGGAGAATCAACGTGAGAAAAAAATTATCACAAGAATTGCGTTCTCGCTTCGCGTCTCATTGCGGCTATTGTATCATAAATGAGCCCTCGTCAACGCAATTGAGAGAATGAGCTTTTCAAGCTCTAGGGGTTCAGAAAGATTAGGCGTAATTTGTGAATCATAAATGGAGCCGCCAAACTAGAGAAAGCGCTGGGTGGAGGAGTGCTAATAAAAGTAGTTAAAGTCGTGCGAGGCAAAGATCGGATAATTAACATGCTACACAAACAAGCAATTTCGGAGGCGCATATTCCAAAGCAGTAATAATAAGGGTATTCCTATTGTCCGTATGCATTATCGAAACTTGGATAAATTCTCAATCAGGAATCCTGAAGTCACGATTTAATAGTGGCTCAAATGATATAACTTTGGCGACAATTTATCTTTGAGTAGGCCAAACTGGTTCACATTAGTAGTACGATTTGATAATGTTATTTGTTCAGTACAAGATTTAACTAATTCGTAGGCTTTGTAGCTAAAATTTGCTAAGAATTGCATCGAACAAATGTAGGGGAGAGGTCCAAGACTGCTTGACGATATCACCTGTAATCCTTGTTTTTACTTATCAATTTTTTATAAACAAGATCGAATTATTAAGCAAACAATGTTGATTGTACGTTAATGGCAACAATCCCAAAGAATCATTAACGCGATTTGGTACGATTTACCAGAGAAAAGATATACAGGGATAGCTAGATATTACTTCTAACTTGATCTCAGCTAAATCTATGCAAAGGATGAATAATTTACATTGTCAATTAGAAAAGCCTCTTTCGAGTGACACATGTGTTGTTTCTTACTATTCTACTTTCTAATAACGAGTCTAACATAAGGAACCTGCACAAAAATTATAAAAGACTCATTAATACATGCACTCAAAGACAAACCTTAAAACAACACAAAGGAGCAAACACGTACCTCAACGTCTTCGCCGCTACGATCATTTACACACATTTCCAGTGTTAAAGCCCGTACATGCGGAGGAATAGGTTTCTTTGTTATTTGCTCAACCAATTGAGACATTCTATTAAACAGTTTGGCGTCAAATTATCAAGTATTTGTAGGCAAAGTCTAAAATGGTTGCAAAACTCACCTCATAGCCTTGCGTTCTTCTACCTTCTTCTTTGGCATGAAGAAGGAATACAACATGCTAACATCGGCTGACAACATTGTCACCTCCAATTCATGCATGGTCTTGAAGTAATCCAGAAATTCTTGCAGTGTGAGATCGCCTTCAACGTCGAATCGATCCCACAAGCTCCATTCAACCTCGTGGTACTATTGAGCAAAAATAAAAGTCTTTATTATTTCGTGAAATGAAATATTTGTTAATTCTCTTTCGATTATTACCTTGAATTTCTGCATAGAAATCGGTTCCGAAAAGCCAAAGAATGGTAGTGCCAAGTTGATAAAACCATTCCTATAGTCTTCCAACTTTTGCTTTCCATCAATAATCTTATACAACTCCAAACAAACCAACCCTGTCACCAAAGATGTAGTAGTGGCGATGGCCGGTATAATCTTTCCGGCAATAAATTTGGTCTTGTGGCGGTCTGCCGGTGTAATTGCATAATTCATTGCTCGCAAATTGGACGCGGCAGCAATAAAATCAATATGGAAGTTTGTATCATCATCTTTTTCAAACTCGACCGCATTTAAGCGGAAACCAGCAAGAGATGACGGTGCGGGAAGTTCGTTAATTATGTCTTGAAGTTCTTTCTCATCAGCTGCCTGTGGCGCAATGGTCTCATTCTCTTGTACTTGAATTTTCACGCCAGATTTGGGTTCGAAATCAGGTACTTCTATCATACTTAGAAATGATTTAAAGTATTCTCTGTCGATTTCACCTATTACATACGGAAAGTTAGTTTAGAGTAATTTTACTGAAACATTGTTATCGACTTTGTTATCAATGTAAGTATTGTTTATGTATTCGTTGACTAAACATTTGGAGCTATTGCATACCTTTAAGACCATAGTTAAACGCATGAAGGTTGGCCGCGGTAATAATAAAGTCCAAATGTGCATCCTGTTGCGATGATACAAATCCAATAAATTATTATTCTTTAACGTATATGCACTATGTTATAATACATACATTATTACAATCAAACACTAGAGGATCGGGTGCTCTCTTTGGACCAGACCAGAACAATGTACCGGAGGATGTCACCTACAAAATCACAGATCAAAATAAGCATTAAAAACTCCCATATTATACTAATACGCAGGTATGCAAAAAAGAAACTTACTGAATCCTTTGGGAAGTTGAACAAAAGCTGTTGAATATTATTATTATAATATTCCTCAAACTTGAAGCGCGCCCAAGTAATACACTCTTCAAAACTCAATGGCCTAGCTGTAACCAGATAATTCCGCACTCCCTCCAGAATTTCCTTAGCCCTTGTTCCCTGGCTCAACGATTGTTCAACGAATTTCGGTTCGCGCAAATATATGTTAACATTTTCTGCTGGTATACGGAAGAGTCCTTCAAATAAATCTCGAGCCCATTGAATGGTGTGCTCGATGGCATTGGGGAAGTTCCTGAGAGTGCAACTTGGGTAGGATTTTTCTGGCGGATCCTGGGAAGAAGAGTACGATTCCGTTAGATACGGAATGACTACTTGAGTGTTTCCTTTCGTGCCAAGTGTTCCGGATTCGAGCAGAGGCTTTCGGAAGTACACACAACGACGATCCATATACTTTCCTTTGAAAATAAAATTATTATGGTTATGATAATTCCGAATTAACACTACAACTCAGTATGATTCTGGAAAAGGGTATAATTGAAACTTACGGGCTTCAACATTGTCCAAGGCATTAGTAACACCGTCAAGATTTTCAAAGAAAGTATCGCCATAAACGTCTACAATGTTAATAAGCCAAATATTAATGTGCGCAATAATCCTATAAAGAAAACAATATACTTATTATTCACATACTCTCAGTTTCCACTCCCACTCGATCCTGATGTGCAATGACTTTTCCTTTCGTCCCTGGATTCATTCTTTCAATCGCTGCTGTTGCTGTATCGGATTTCAAGTTCTATGTAACAAAAGCATTAATTAACATAAAGCTTAGCGTCTTATATATGTTTTATCAATAGTTCAAATGAGGACTTACGCCAACGTCATTGGGACGGAATAAAAACTGTCGATTCAAGTTGCTCTTCTCGATAGTGTCCATATCCGTAACATGAATTTCGCCACGAGGCCCAGTGCCCAAACCCATCATTGCCCAATTCTTCAACATTTCACATCCAATTGCACCAGCACCAACTAAAAACTCGCGGAAATCAGCAATTTTGTTTTGAAAGTCTTTGCCAAAGACAGCAATTTGACCGTCATAACGACTGCCAATCTGAATAATCGATCATAGTGTTAGAGACTTAATTGTCATAACATGGAATCGTTATCAGATAGCATAAATAAATTCCTTACGGGACGACAAGACTCTTCAGTGAGTTCAACGCTTTTGGGTAAAGATTCCAAAGAGTCAAAGTACATCAATTGTTGTATCGGATGAAACTTTCCACTGCATGCCTTCAAGACTTCCTGCGCAACCAATCCCCCCAATATAGCGACCATTGGAGACAGATCCCCTGTCGCACCGTATGCGAGTTCTTTGATAAGCTTGTCATCGATATCTGTTTTATCTTCTCGCTTGTCATTAATTGTTTTGGTGATTCGTAAAACTTCGTCTGCATCCGCTTCACTGTGCGGGCGTGGAAGATGACCATGAAGCTCAACAAAAGCATGAAGGGCTTGGAATCCTACATGCAACTGTGCCGGTCTATCGAATTTGCCATAATCGGTTATGAAGAAATCCGGTTGCTCTAACGATTCTCGCAGAGATTTCTAACCGTAATAGCGTTGTAAGCTTAGTACGTTTAACGAGTGGCGAAAGCAGTATGGTAAATCGTGTTCAGACTTACAAAGTTAAGAGTTTTTGGCATTTTAACTTCAGTGAAAATGCCACCATCAATATAAGTGCCAAAATTCGATGTATCATCAATGGCGAAAGTGTAAGGGCCTATTAAGATAGATTTGAAAATAAATAACCATATCTCCTGATTAGAGGCACTAAATTTGCATCTTGATATTAGTAATCTTACCAAGAACTTTTACTTTTTTAGGTTCACATCCGTTCAATTCTACCATTCCCTTGATCTCTGAAAAGGTGACGTAAGTGCCATCTTCAAGACCATGTCTTGTTTCATCAAGGCATGTTATCACGCCTTCAACTTCTTTTGAAACCGCAGCTACCATCCCGGTAAGAGGATTTTCCCCAGTAGTATCGGTTACAACAAACTCTGATCCGAAGTCATTGAATGTAGTTCTACAGTGATACACAAAGTTAGGAGGTAACCAGTCTTCAATGTAGATATAAAGACAAGCAGAATGATCAACTAACCCAAAGAGACCACGAACGTCAGTTGCAATAAACTTTATGCCGTTCGCATGAGTAAAATCATTGATTTCTAGCTGCTTTTTTAAGGAAATCTCTGTCAAGACAACGACCTGTCATAAAAAACAAATTACGCATCGCGTAATTAATGGTCAGTATAATCCATTCACTCGAATGGAGATTCTAATTGTCACCCTCGACAGGCGATAATTTCACTACAACAGCTGCCATGCACGTCCTTTTTACCTGAAAACTTTGGAGCTTATCTATCGTAAGCTCTCCTTCGATCACGGATACTGGAACATACTGATTTAATTCAGCCAATCGTGGTGCTGATACTGCTGCCCTTGGTTTGCCAACATCTTCCTCCCTGAGGAAGAACTATGGATTGAATGAGTGTAGATATGTAAGCTTAAGAATTATTTTCCGACTGTATGTCAATACTCTGAAAATTCTGCGAGGAATAGCGTAGAGCATCACCTGTGTTGATAGATCGCATATTCTAACAGGTTCCGGGTCATAAATTGTTACGCTTTTTACACCCGCCAATACAACGTTCTTGGCTTATAGAGATAATTGAATTTTCATGAATCTACGAGTTCATTTACAGTAAATTGATCACCCACTGTTTACAAACCTATTTCGACGCCAAGACCTTTCATTCCAACTATAAGAACGTTGGAAGTACTCATTTTCTTCATAGCCTCATGGCCCAAAACATAACTACGCGAGTATAAGAAACGTTAGTCACTCGTAACTTCAAGTACGCAAAACTCATACTTAAACAATATTTACAGTTGACGGGAATAGAGGCCTTCGTCAATAGTTGGTTCTGTTTTATCAACGTCCATACTGGCAGTCGACATATCAAATGATTAAGATAGTTTAATGTGTAAATTATTATCCACAAAAATCCCGGGGAGAAAAATGTCGGAAAATCAAGCGTGGATAAGTGGCAGACTAGTCTATCCTTGTCTGTAGTCTTTGTCGTTCGCTAACAAATTGATCGGTATATATACCGCAATATATCGGCGCACCTTTTACATCAACTACTGCGTATTGAGTGGTACAATTAGCACATTCCATTGTTAGTCAACTCGCGCGTTGGTCGAATCCGAATCTGTATCATATTCTGCGTAAAAAATAAACAAATGCGTTTGTGTTTATGGTGGGATTGGGCAGCAAAAGGTCTACGCAATTTTGTAAGCACTCGCTAAAACATGTTTGCAATTTGGCTAGTTCGCATATACTTCTAACACCGTTATCTTAGAACCCGAAAAGACAGACTTGCAGGAAGCCATTCAAGCTCCAATTAAGACGTCTCAATCTGTAGTAATGGGGAGCAATCAATACTAGTAAGCACAAGGTGTGAAGTAATAAACCTATTTTCAAAGAATAATAATAGCACCATATTATTATTTAGAGTTGGCTGCAATACTTCAAATATTTAATAAACATTTATTAAAAAGGGGTTTCTTTCCTGAGTGCATGGTAATAGTAATATAAAAAGAAAGTCAAGTGATCATTGACAAAAACTGTATCTTACTATTACTGCCCAGTTAGGTATGTTAGTTGAGTTACCTAAGTGGTATACCACTTGGTATTGGGTTAGGTTATGATTACTACTCATATTAAAGTTATATTACCACTCCATAACCCAATTACCACTCCATAACCCAATTACCACTCCATAACCCAATTACCACTCCATAACCCAATTACCACTTCACTCCATCTCACAATCTAATACTAACTCCTTAATGCATCCAGACAACTAAGGAAATTCTTAAATGAGAACCTATTGTAACTATTGGATATCGCTCTTATTTCTTGAACGAATTAGAGCTATTCTTTAAAAAGTATCAAATTGCGTTGGAGATGCAAGGGGCTCGGCATCAGTTTCATAGCACCAAGCTGGTGTAAAAATATATTTATCTGGATAATAAAATCTTCCTTCTGATGACAAAAAACCGGAAATTGTTATACAATAGTAATAGTAATTTTTGGACTCGATTTCGTGTGCTTTAGGGTCTTTCAAACTTTTGACCAAATCTTCGGCGTAACTGCTAAGCTTAACTGCGCTCATTTTAGGAGTCAACTTATATTGAAATTGTAGCGATTTTCGACATTGTGTTTATGGATGGTTTCTGCGGATTATAGCTATGACAAATATTTTTCAAATCGAAATTAATTATTCAATAAGTAATTCCTGTGTATGTGGCTGATTATGAAGAAATACCTTTATCGCACACTCTGCCTCTAAATTATTATAGGTTTTAAGCGTATTTGAAATTAAAAGTGAAATAATAATAATAATAATACTTACATGAATCGCGTTAATTCTTACAATACGTACGTATTAGTTACGTCTCAATATTTCCATCTGTGGTGTTCTCTATAAAGACACGTACTTCCCAGCTTTTTTCAGATAGGCTTCTCAAATCTCTTACTCGATTAAGCTCCGGATTTCATTATCGGCCCATGATCATTCACCTCGCGAGTAGCCTCAACAAATAAGTGGGATGATCTTCGGATAATTCGGTCACCTGCGGAAAACTCGCATTAGTATTAGCGGGGCTTCGGATACGGCTAACAAAGGTTTCATATAAAATTCGGTTAAGCGGGGTAATTTCTATATGATTGGAAGCAGTTTTTGAAAACTCTTCGTTACAACGGGATATTCGTTATTGTTATAACGGAGTTCGTTATAATAATAACGGGGTTATACCTGTATCTCGCTTATATGTCGTACATATCATTCATATATCAGGCTTTGTATAATAAGCGAGTTTCCTTATAAAAGAACTAATTACATATAGCTACTTTTCTCGTCGAGGTTCCTCGGCTTCTGCTCTAAGCAGTTTCTCAATTGCTGTCACTTCTCAAAGTTCTCGTAGAAGCTCAGTGGCTTCCTTATCCGATTTTGATCAAGATCATCAAGACGCGGATAAGCTGGCGTTTCAAGAGTGCATTGAAATTATCGATGCTAATGTGGAAGACGTCATTACCAACAAAGCCGATGCAAGAGAGAAGAAGTGGTGGAAAGATGGAAATTACAAAATTATTGATGAAGAAAGGTGAGATCATAACACTACATAAATTCGATTCCTACTGTCCATGCTAAAATTTCTTCCATTTTATTAGACTCCCTCTGAATAATAGATAAGACCACCCAATTCTGGTTAGCTCCGAATCGTGTTGAAGATGTTATTGTATGGAAATTATGGACAGGAGGGCTCAAAACGCGCCCTTGCGCCGTTTAACTGTTTAGTATTATTCTTTGGTATTCCATTTATTTTATTCGACCAATAATTATTCTATGTTTCTGGCAGTGCTATAAATTCTGTCATAGAAAAAGCCCTCAAAATGCACATGGAAACTAGTTACCAGTTCAAACGGTAAAAATTAGTGTATTTTTTGACAAATTAGGATGATTATGATTTCTATTTGCTTTGTTTACAATATCACTTTATATATTGATTTTTTAGATTGAATTTGGAACCAGAAGACGTCAACAATACAATGGATGCACTGCTGTGGGAATGTGCACTTTAAATATTTTACCAGATTGCATTTTCAGAGGCTGTCCTTGCCAAAATCCATCACTCACATATCCAATCGCAAATAATGTGGTCATTGATTTGTTTCATATTCAACAAAAGATATTTCGTGTTATGTAGAATTTCATGCACAATAACAATGTAGTTGGTTAAGTGAAGAGAACGCTGCATGTATTTTTTCAAATGTTACAAATGGTTCTCACAATACACACATTCTCCTCTGTGAAAAAGCGCTAATGCTATCAATTCTGCATGTCTCAACACATGACAAAACCTGTCCATTTCATTTGCGAATTCCAGATCCTTTGTTATTTACTATAATACGTCACAGGATATCTTATGCTTGTGATCGTGATATTGCATTTACAATCCCAGAAAAAAACCAATATAAATAGCGATAACCCCCTTGTTTCTGATAAATAACTGGCCTTTCAAAGGTAAATCTAATTCCATATATACAGTATAATACTATTAATAAATTAATCATCCAGCATCACTGTCTCCCTTCCAGTTACAGAAGGTGGTCAATCTCATATCACATGCCTTTGTCAGGACCGACGATAAAGCATGGCGTATTCCTCCGTGATTTCTGCTCAAACATCTTCGGCTCTGTATCTGCGGCTTATCAAGGAATTCGGATTGCTGGAGACAGTTGATCAAGCCATAATTTTACGGTAATCATACACTATACACAGGGGAAATCTTCAAAACGTTTACTTATTCCTGCCTCAAACTAGGGGCGGTTGGATACTTATGCTCACTACTGTAATTCCAAACCATAATGTTTCGATTCCATGTTGTTATTTTTTCCAAAACACATTTTTTACGCTCAATTATCCAAGGAATACAGGCAAACTTGTTTCTACTGCCTTGACTATGCTATACGTTCGTTGGATTACGCTTCCCTGAATCTTAGAAAATTTACTCAGATAATCGTTTGTTGCTGAGTAAATAGAATTTGATCTGTGGATTAGTACACATAGATGTCGCAACGTCAGGTAATTCCACATGTGATACTATCAGACGCGTTAATAGGGAAAAGTAGTCTGGGCAAGAGTCTACTACGAATCTGCCATTACACCATCAAATTCCAGACATTATTATACGGATATTAAATAATGCGATCGTAGAAGAATAATTCTTAATGCAACAATAAACAGCAGTGGAAGTTCTCTTTTTTTCGACAGGTTCTGTATTTCTACAATCTTGGCGATTTTAATAACTGATTTATTTCGATAAAATCGGAATAATGTCTCGATAATATGCAAACCGTAATTACTGAACATAATGACTAGTTAGCCTATCGATCAAGTAGAATAAACAATAAAAACAATACGATGATTGCGACTTTATTATTATATAATAATGACACCCACTTTTTGAACGATCTTTAACTATTTATAGTGACTTTTTGGCTATCTACAAAATTATAAGTACATCCAAATAGAGATCAAAATCGTCTCATTTAAGGTTCCACGCGCTGGATCGGTTCAATCTTATATTTATTAAGATGATCGATACAAAGATTTGTTTGCTATAATTTATATGAATAAACTACGTTATAAGTATATCCGATCTACGAAAAAAATTTTCATTTTATTTTTACATTCTAACTTTCCGTCAGCACGGCTGAGGCGTAAATTTTTACCGCGCGTTAAAATCGACGATTTATCAATGTGAAGTAAAAATCATATTCGCTTAAAAAAATTAAATTGATTAACGATTTTGACAAAGAATGCTAAAATAACGAAATGTTTCGGACTTAGATTTCGGTAGAGCTACGTCTGTATTACTTTCTTTTCAGGTCTGTTGTTTGTTGATTTATTATTAAAAACGATATTAAATTTACAGTCTATATATTAGCAAATAAAGTGTACAAATATATCCACGTGAATTCAATATTACTGGTTCTCCCTAAATGCAGGTTTCTCTCTAAGTGCAGGCATTGGCCTCGGTCCCAACGACCTGCACTTAGGGAGAGTCCACTGTACTCTATCTCAGATCACTTGATCAAATCGCTGTTCCCCTCTTTAATAGCGGTTGAGCCGTTCTTGAAAGATTTCAAACTATGCCAGCAGTTTGCTCTTCGGCTCTTCCGCTCCCAGCTCTAGACTACACTCTAAGTCCTCTACTCTATTAAAACTAACATAAGTTTCACCTAATTATAAGCTGATTTAATAGAATGGGCTAACAAATATGTAAACAAATTGTATATTAAGTGAAGTTGTGCATGCGCGGTGGAGAGAAGCGTCTGGTTATATATGTATGAGAGACGCGTAAGATGATATTGTTAATTGCTGTCGTACCGTCCTTATACAGTGTGTTACAAAAAAAAGTGGAATTATATTCTAGTCTATTGTGTGATGAAAAAAAAAAAAGCTAAATTGTCCAAAATTTATAATTATATTTGTATAATATAGAGAACAAATTTATTTAAGGACAGTTAATAGATTATTTTATTAAAATCTTTCTTAATTTCTAAATTAATCTTGGAAAAAAAATATCGAAAAAGTAATTACAAGTTAGCAACAACATGAAGAACGTATTTGAAAATCTTTGTGTAAAATAATAGGATTTTTTTGTTTTATACAAGTAATAACAAAATTTTTGAGTTTTGAATTTTTGAAATTATACAACATGTTAATCAAATAACTGATTAAATTGCCGTAAGTAAATTTGTTTCTTGTATAAAAATACATATATTTGTAAACTTTTATCTAATTTTGTCATAC